TGAATATTTCCCATTTTCCCAAAGTGACATTTCCCATTTTTCTCATTCTTATATGATAACGATACGGGGATGTATCTGCATTTACTGTCGTCGCTTTAAAGTGCATCAGGGAAACCCATTGCTCTCTCTTTCTCTGATTTCCTTTGACACGCGTGTGTGTGTGTGTGTGTCTGTGTGTGTTCTTAGGATCTTGTGCAACACACACCCACCTTCGACACACTAAAAAACACAGTCACACTCACGAAGGGGCTCGCTTTGTGAAACTCATCCGCACACACACACACACACAAACACTCCCCCTCTATGCAGAGCAGTAAATACAATGATTGTATTTTTTGGCTCTGTTTTCTCCAGGGTGTTGACAAGTCTTTTTTCCACTCGCATGGTTGAAATGAAATCCAATTATATGTGTAATGGCTCTCCAACTCTTCTTTTGCTTTGAAGGAGTCAGCTTGCTTGAGTCACCACTGTTGGACCCAAATGTGCTCAGTAAATCAGTGATGCGCAATGGTGTAAATGCGCAATGGCAACAGATGTAGTGTGTGTGTGTGTGTGTGTGTGTGTGTGTGTGGTTCGTCATTTTAGGCTGCTAATGTTGCTCATGTTTGCAAATGACTCCCATCAAAACTTTGTCACTCTGAAAAGTGTGTCACACGTTAAGTCGATGCCTGTCTATTTGCATATTTTAATTAAATAGTTGGAATTTAGAATGAATCACTTCCTAAATTCACGGTGTAATTATATGGTGTTTGTCCTTGACTTGGCAGCGTCACCCACCCATGAATAAATTCATCATAGTCTTGTGACGGCAGACAAAGTTACGCTGACACCTGCAAACTTTGTTTCTTCTACTTACCCCCCAATTAGCCTCTTTTACTTTCTTTCCATGACACAATAAATCACATACTGTCACGTCGTCTTTGTCATCGGGGGGCCCCTGTGACAATTTGATCACAGTGATGTGTGGGTGGGTAAAAAGCGCGCACAATACGTGCTTGTGTGTGTGATGGGGTTTCTAAACACTCCGAGCGCTCGCTAAAATAAAGGGCCTCTTTGACGAACCGGACATGAGCAGGGCGCCGTGTGTTTCCATGGCACCCTGCAGAAGCTGCTGTGTGCTCGGAGCAGCCAGTCGGCCAAAGACGGTGTCAGCTCGCTGTTTTCACACGTGTAGTAGAGCGTTAAGACTCATGCATCCGGAGATGGGTGACCGGCCCATTAGTCAGTTTGCAAGATAAGTTAGGAAGTAAGACGTTAAGTCTCAGGATCAGGATTTAATGTGAACATGCAGCATGCCATCTGCAATGTCCGGGGCCCGTCGACAAACAGTACATTGATTGTGTGATATGCTGGAAATGTGCATAAAAATAGGAATATGACCCTATGAATGCAGGAGGGAAAAACGATGCAAATGGGCCATTGTGTTTACCAAAACAGGCAATAATCAAGATGTTCAGACCGAGAATAGCTGGCATAAGATAACTGTACAGCATCCATAAAGTGTGCAGATGCAATGTGCCCACATTGTGTTAGTGCTTCTAATTAAAAATGCAGACTGAGCAGATGGATATAATACATCGCTTTTGCCCTACAAAAAGGAACACTGCTTTATTCCCCGTTCTTGTGATTTTATAGAATTTGAGCTCCATCCGTTTGTATCTTTTGACAACCCTATTAACCTGTTGGGAGACTGCAAAGTTGGCATATTGCATGAATGTTGCATTATTTGAGAAACGTCACAGTTTAGTGCTGATGATTTGGACTGACACGGCAGAATTTCTCTCTAACCAAACTGGGAGCAAAGCATACGGCCCCATTTTCACGAATATCATTTATATTACATGTAGTCTTTTCAATGAAAGTAGAGTGGCTGCGATTTCATGGTCTAATTATATGATGTTTTATGAGCGAGATTTTCTCCAGACCTTTGTGACCTTGACAAGACAGCTGGACCGGCTGCATGAGATTAATGAGCTGGCGTTGTGGCTTTCAGACTCAGATGAGATACAACAATGGCAGAGAGCATAACTCACAAAGCTAAACGAGTGGCCCAACGCAAATACTCCTTTTGAGTCCGCAGTGAGCATCGTGGCCCACAGTCGTTTTCGCAGCCAAGTGCAACTTGACCTCTTTCTCCTCCGTCTTGGAGCCGGTTAGAGTCACCATTATTATTTCCATATGGCTATTTTTTGAGTGAAAAACGTAGTTGCCAAAAGCACTTGAACGGATGGTGGCTAGCACGGCACACACGTGTGTGTGTGAATTGTACGAGTTGCTTATCTCGCTACATGGAAGGGGGTGTATTGCGTTGCCACAGGTGCTCTGTCCCCCCCCGAGGACGATGGCCTCCAGGCCGACTGCTGTCAGACTACATCATGATTAGCCACGCTGCAGGAAATGAAGAAGCCTGGATGAGATTGATAAAACGAGGAGGAACTTTTCTGTAACGGGAAGGGGGGGGGGGAAGGGCGCAAGGGTCACGTGTCATTTATCGATGTCAGGCTTCTCCCCACCGTTCCTCCCTGAATGCTGATCGCACACACTGATACGACGGTACGATTGGACTTAATTAAAAGGGCTCATTAGCATGGGGCTCGCTGTCAGCTGAGCACAACACTGAGAAAACAGCCCTCTCTCCTGGGGGGCGGGCTCATTTTGCGTTTGTAGCGTCATGCATACAGCCGAACGGTCTAATCAGTGGTCAAGCGCTTCGTTCCCAGGGAACACTTTTCTGCCATTTAAGTACGTGTTGTGTTGAGATCCTGAAGCTGATGCTATGTCACTGTAACCAGGAACTTTTATTGATCAGCTTCCAATCTTAGGTTTAGCTTAGGGCCGGGGGGTTTGAGGGGGGGGTTCATCGGTTGACCACCTCTCCTCGGGGAGATGACTAATCATTCGCTGGGATGCTGCGATGAGATTTTTGACTGCGGTAATCTCCGGATTGAATGGAGATTAACCGCCATGTGGGGTGATGACTCTCCTCTTTGTCTTTTTTGTCTGGCTGGGGATCTGCACGCCTTATCTTATCGCTCTGCCTCATTTCTCCGGGGCAGTTCCCCGCCGTTATCAACATGGCTCCATCTACATGGAAATCAAAGCCTTTGCAGAAGTGGAATACGATTAGGGAGGGGTGAGGGGGAGGGGAGAAAAATCTAATCTTCCCCCTCTTGATTTGTGCTAATAATCCGCCTCAGCAACCTAGGAAGAGTCTGAATAACAGCGTTCTTTCTGTTTTTGTAGCGGAGGATGGATGGATGAACAAGGTGGCAAAAGAGCAACGTGTTCATGTGTAACTCATGAAACATTTCATCTGTGAAGCTTCTTTTTGTCTGTGGGCCTTAAAATGAGAATTAGCTCTCGCTTCACAGCACCCAGCTGCCTGATACTGACCTCCTTTGTTTTTTTTAATGACCAAAGAGTTTGTGTGTTTGTGTGTCTGCGTCCTGTGTGTGTGTGTGTGTGTGTGTGCACAGTAGCAGGGGTGGCTGCTAAACAGGGTGGGTTACAGTGGGGATTAGAGCCACACAGCAGCCTCCCTCCCCAGTAAACAAAAGTACATGGTACTGCACTTTGTGTGTGCGTGCGTGTTTGTGTGTGTGTGTGTGTGTGTGTGTGTGTGTGTGTGTGTGTATGTATAACATGTCTTTGCTGGTGACACCAGACAAAAAGAGGGCGACTGAGTCCATCTGTGAAAACAGCAGGATTAAGCTGTGCTCGAGCCAAGAGCTACACGTCAATCAACCGCTTAAGTGTATGTGGGAGTGTGTGTGTGTGTGTGTGTGTGTGTGTGTGCTGCACACACAACTGTACACACACTGCACTCGTCCGGCATTGGGGGAGGGAGGACCCCAACACTGTTGTTTTCATTTGTAATCCGCGGGATGGAGTGAGGCCAGCGACGCATCAATCACACTCAGCAGCTGAAACACAACAACAGAAATGAAAAGAAAAAACTTTTTGTGTGTTTTTTTTTCTTTTTGTTGTGCAGAATGTAAAACAAGGCGTTCTAAACACGGGAACGCCGTCATTTAAGACGTAACAAAAAATATGTCATGGTTCCTTTTATCTGCTGGAATGTGCACCCCCCCCCCTCCTCCTCCTCCTCCTCCTATTGGGTCCGGTCTCTTAGCTTGTTGTTTCGCTGTCAGGACCCCCGACTGTTCCCCCATAATGCACCAGCACTTCTGCATGACACCCCCCATGGGGGCCAGTCCGAAGCTACTGGTGTGCAGGCTGCATCCATTCACAAAGGTCAAGGTCGTGCAGTTGGTGTATTTATGAGAGGTTGGGGGGTTGATGGGGGGGGGGGGTGTTGACCTGGATGTAGTGGCCCTCCTCTCGGTGGGGGGCCATTACGCCACACGTGTCGTGTACCAGTGATTGAAGCTGGCTCGCTCCCCCCTACACCTTTCACCCCGGCTGGAGGGGGGAAATTGAAATCAATACAGCCTATGATGAAGCGACTGGAGTGGGACAGGGGAAGGAGAGGGGGGGGGGAGAGGGAGAGAAGGGGGGGGATTGATTTGACGGATGGCTGGTTAAAGGGGATCAATTACCCTGATGGATTGCATTTTGGGAAATTTCAGAAATAAGACTGATCCGTGCCCCTTTAGGACCTATTGTCCTCTGAAGGAGGAGGGATGGAGAACTGCTCCACTGCGGTTTGCATAACACCCTTCAAGGCTGGAATATCAGTCACTTGCATCTTTGTTGTAGTGAGAAGTGGCAACTGGTCCCTCCTCCTCCCCGCAAGCCTTTATTTTTCAAAAAATGTTTAATCCCCCCCCCCCCCCCCCCCCCCTCCGCGCATTCTCCTCTAACGCCTCCCCCCCCCCCCTCCCTCTCTCGCGCTCTACATTATCCTATGCATTTTAATTTTTCCTTTTTTTTCTGTCACCGGGGGCCCAGTCCCCCCCCCCCCCCCGCCCACTCCCCTCATTTTCGCCCGAGTCTAGAATAGTGGAGCCAAGAAATAGTTAATCTCTCCTGCTGCTGCTGTGATTGGCCGCTGTGTGCAGCCCTCAGCCTCCTTGAATGAGAGACGGGGGTAACCAGGCAACTTCAGAGCTGGAGAAGAGGGGAGACACACGCAAAAAAAAAAAAAAGGTCGCGTTTACGGGATCTTAGAATTTTGAGGACGTAAAGAGCGAGGCGATTTGATTTCACCTTGGAAAAATGGAATTAACAAATGGATTTTCTTAAACAAGCTCTCTCCCTCCCTCTCTCTCTCTCCCTCTCTCTCTCCCCCCGTATCTCTCGCTCATTGGGGGGCGAATAGAGCGCTCAAATGAAGGGGACACAGATGTGGATTAAAACGGGATAAATGGGACACTCCAGAGGAAAAACATCCACTGAGATCAGGTGAGTGTCATCTCAGTTGCGAGCTTCCCCATTAAACTGCGAAACTGTGTGCGACTGATCCGCGGATGCGAGGCGGCTCCGCCACCGCGTCTTAAGATTTATGGACAGGATGCGAAAAATGGGGTTGCGGAACAGTCCGCCGCGGATGACTGACCGGCAGGCACACGTGTGATTGGAAAAATGAGACGAACCGGAGCCGGAACGTTGAAAGCGAATGTGATCAGAAAGGAGCCCGTCGATGGGGCTTGAACGTGCAGTCCTTTAAAGCGCGGACGCCGGTCGCCTGTCAAACATCCCGCTGTCCCGCATTGCATTGCGCACTGGTTTGAAATGGACATCACGTTTTGAATTGATCACAACGCGCACGGCTCCCGTGTGTGTGTGTGTGTGTGTGTGTGCGTAATGTTGCTTTGTGGCAAGCTGGAAGCTTTATTTTTTCTTTCTTCCAGCCTCGTCCGCTACCCCCCCCCCCCTCCACCCCCTCCCCACACCTCCAACCCCCCCCAACCCGCTCCGCAAATATTCAAATGAAGAGACGTCCTGCTGCAACAGCAGTAAGTCATCGTCAAACCACCGCGCGTCATTCGGCTCTGATGCTGAGTGAACGAGTGAATGATGACGCGCGTGTGTTGCTACACGTATCGATCGGCGCACATGCAGCCACTGTTGGGGAAATGCCCAGCGGGCTGCAGTGGGGATGGGTGGGGGTAGTGGGGGAGTGTGTGTGTGTGTGGGGGGGGGGAGTACCTGTGGATGGTGCTGCTGCTGCTGCTGCTGCTGGACGGGGGCGCGCGGCGCGGAACACGAGCCTGCCTCAAACCGGCACAGGCCGAGTGGTGGCAGAGTGAGTCCTTTTGGATCATCGTTCACGTGCACGGGTCACTTTGGGGGACATGGACAATCCCGCTAATTGCGCGACCGTTTACGGTGGAGGGCGTCTCAAATGCGCCAGAGCGCGCGTGCAGGGGCTGAAACGTGAGGTGCATTTCACCGCGTTGTGTTCGATTGGGTTCAACTTTTATCGTCCTGTATGTTTTTGGACCCTCCATTCATATTAAGTTTATAAAACGAGCCAACCATCAATTCACCACGCATCTCTTTATCTCATTCGAGTGTATTTTTTTTAACAACCACCCCTCCCAGGGGATATATTTTGTAAAAATATTTGTAAGAATAATTTTGAACAATTTCTGTAGCAAGCGATCTTTCAGGCGTTGCTTCTGGTGGAGTGTTTAACCCTTTCCTTCCATGTCTTTCAATGATTTTTAACCTTCCGAAATTCAAATCCCCCGCTGGTTAAAGCTGAGAGTGAGCCAACATGACCAGTTCAAATGTGTAATTCAGAACTGGACCATATGTCCATCATGATGCCCTTTGTTTGCTGCTTGAGTGCTGATGCTCGCGCAGGCCTGGGAGGAAAATGGCCTTGAATATTGCCATGGAAAAGCAGTGACAAAACAGCTACAAAGACAAGCCGCTGGTAAAATAATCCACTGGCCTTTGTCTTGTTGGCTCTAAAGACCACGAAGACGTGTTAATGTCGCGGCCGGGCGGGATGTGAGCAAAGGTCGGCGTTGGGGTTTTGACACTTGTGCCGAAGTTCATTGGCGACTTCTGCCAATCGACCAAACTGGCTGCAGTAATCTCCTTATAGAGGATGTTCCGCAACGGATCCTAAGCTGCACTCACTGGCTTGATTGTAGGACGTATGTGTTATGCACACACACACACACACTCTCTCTCTCTCTCTCTCTCTCTCTCACACACGCTGTACAATTTCCAGTTGTCATCCCAAGACAGTTTTCTGCAGCCCAGTGTGAGTTGGGGGGGCTTAAGATGGAGCTGAACAAAACACTAGAGAGCATTAACTTCTGCAGTAAAGGCTTCTTTGTCGGGTCTCCCAGTGGAATCCAGACACTTAATTTAGCTCCTGACAGCAAAAGCAGCGAGTGGATATGTGAGCTATATCTTATCCGATTAAGGCCATAATGCCTTTTCCCCTTTTGCAATTATTTCAGAATGGAATGGTTTGGTTACTTTTTTTTTCATCCCATCACAATTACAAGGCAGGGACAGCATTTGGGCTGGTTGTTGACGTGCAGCCTGACATTGTGGTTTTTACTTTTCCTTAATTTGCCTTAGTGTTACCCTGTGCCTTTTGTTTCGCTGAAAGCCTGCTGTAATATCACATGTGTTCTTTGTCTTCATACATTTCCTCAAGTTGAACTCCCTTAAGATTTCCCGAGTGCTCTGAGATAATGCATCCAACCAACAGTGCTTGCGCTGACATCAGTGTAGCCTTGCTGCATTACACACGCCGGTTTGCCAGAGTGGCCTACATTTTTCATAAAAGTAATTTTACGGAGCTTTGCGAGATCGCACCCAGTTTGCTCATTAATGAAGACGTGGCCTTTGGCAGAGGCGGGTCAGAGGTCATCCTGGTCGCCTCTGTCGAACAAAAGGGAGAAGATCAGCTCAGATAGGCACGCATGCGGGACGCTGTAATAGTGCGCGTGCTCCATCGGGGGTGAAATCAACATGACAGGTGCATCTGAATCTGAGAGTGCAGCAGGATTGTGGTGGCAAGCAAAGGTGGCCAAAGCAAAAAACTGCAATCTGTAAAAGCAGCTAAAGGAAAGGAACAGATCTCCCAGACGGCTTGACATTTGGGGGAAATTATTCTATTCGTTGTCTTGTTAAGAGTTTTATAAAAACAAAAGTCCTTACCAAAGTTACGGTGTGTTCATCCGGGGGTTAAGTGCAGGATTGCTGGAGTCTGGTTCTGTCCAAGAAACGTTTTTCTCTGACTTATTTGTGTTTCCTTTGGACAGAGCCCGGCTAGTTTCCTTCTGCTTCCTAATGCTAAGCTATGCTGTCCGTTTCCCCCAGCTCCATATTTAGAGTAACATTATGACTATCAATCTTTTCAAATGACTTTCTGCCAGATAGCGAATGAGCGTATCACAGACAACGTTAACATAGTACCCAAACATCTTTCAAGGAAATGATTCTCCAGTTTTGTCAGACCTGAAACACAGCAGTTTAATGTAAACAACTCTGACTGACTGACTTTGTGCAAGTATTTGTGCAAAATATGAAACCTGACAAATAAATACAGCCAGTCAGTCAGTTAATATTTTTGAAATATATGTTGAAATTGAGAAAAGGGGGTAATTTATCTGAAAAATGATGTTTCTTATGGCAGTCAAATAAAATAAATATTTATAAAATAAAATTTTCCATCTATTCAAATCTGCTTTATTCAATTATATATAATATAAATATATAAATTCTGAAGAACAGCAGTCAGGACAGTGGTTTTCTGTTAACGTACGGACTTGACGATGAGTTGACGATGAGGCCGCGACCCCGTCGCTATATGGAGCGTTACTGCAATCAAATGGGCCATTGAATTGTCAAGCCATCAAACAATTATTTCCATTGCGTGGAGCCGGGTAGCTGGTAATCTTTGTGCTCTGACCTGTTTCAGTAAAGTGTTCAGCGTCGGCTCGCCTCCCACGTTCAGCCGTCACTGCCCGTTTCCCTTCCAGAGGAACTGGGCATCATCAATGCATCAATGACACCAGCCCGTCACGAGGGACGTGTAGCACGCCAAACCAGTGATTCATTAGGACTCAATTAGCTGGGAGGCATGGGGCTCCCCGCCATATGCCTCGAGGTTCTGCGGCAATCTGTGCCCATGCACTGCCTGCTACTGTACCCTCAACTGTCTTTGGCACTGCGCGTGTGTGTGTGTTGCACTGTGTACGGAACCAGCGCCGCGCAACAGTCTGCTGCTCTCCGTCCTTGCACCATTCAAAACAAGTCGGCGGTGTGCAGATTTAGCGGCCGCGTCTCCGGCCGCCGCCCCAGCGTCCGAGCTAGAACCTAGAACGGTGACCTTCAGCTCAACTCATGTTGTGCCAGTTGGCTCCGTATGAAATGTTCATCCATCTACTGGAGTATGAGGCTGTGGAGCTCTAGATACTGTAAATCTAAGGAGGTAAGAAAGGCCCCCCCGCTCAATATCGACTTTGCCTCGCTTGCCAAGAGGCGGCGTGTGCTGCCGACAAGATCTATCCGCCCTCAGATCTAGTTTGTCTTCTTATCTGTGCCAAGCTTAAGGACCCCTTCACCCCATCCTCTGTGCCCCCACCGCCCAATCAAACTGTTCCTCCGGCCTAAATTAATTAAATTAGATTAGGGAGCAGTCTTAAAGAGAAGGGCAATGAACACGCTGATATGTGATGCGATGTGACATATATTTGTTTATACATACACAAACAGACACATACATGTAAACTGCCGTATATATTCAATTTTATTTCCAGACACATCAGTCCATATGAAAAGAAAAACAAGTAAATACAAAGCCATTTGATCCGACAAAATCCTAAAACAAGAAGAATAAGTGTCACTCTGTGTTTGAGAAATGAATGCTTTCACTGATTCGACATTTGAATTTGTAAATGAAATTTCTCAACACAACATGAAAGGTGAGTCACTAATTGCACTTAATCTAGGGAGCTTGAGCAAGAAAATAAAGATAGGATTATGTTGAGAATTCACATTACCTTTTTATTTTAAGTGAAAAAGGAGATTTTCATCTCACACGGTTAACGTGTATGAGAGATATTTATAAGTAGGAACACACACCACGACATAATCTGTAAAACAAGAACAATCATATTGGTTATAATTATTGTTTAGAGCCTCCCTCAGTTTCCCGAGGGAATAAATGACTTTTTATGAGTCAATGTTGAATTTTCCAGAAACATGTCGCTGCTCAATTGAGCGATTTAAAAAATAATGTAATTATAGTCAGCGAGGAATCTTCTATCAGCTGTTAACAGCAGGAGTTCAAGACATGTAAAAAAAAAAAAAAAGCGTGTTTTTTTTTTTTCTCAAATTAAAAGCCTTAACTTTTCAATAAGGCCGGAGGAGCCCGAGCAAAATAAGAAATCGAGTCAAGTTCGAGCTGCTCTGCCCCAGTTGTAGGC